ACTTATTCAACCTGTATGCTGAGCAAATAATCCGAGAAGCTGGGTTCTATGAAGAAATATGTGGTATCAAGATTGGAGGAAGACTCATTAACAACCTGCAATATGCAGATGATACAAGCTTGCTTACTGAAAGTGAAGGGGACTTAAAATATTTACTGATGAAGATCAATAGATAGATATGATAGATATGTGTTGTTATTATTATTATTGTTATTATTAAGTGACACTGAGTTGGTTCTGAGTCACAGAGATCCTCTATAGGGTTTCCAAGCAGTGGCTGCTGGGTTTGAGCCACTGACTTTGCAGTTAGCAGTCCAGTGTTTATCCTACAGCACCACACCAGGACTCCAGATACGTATATTGTGTTGTTATTAAATAGGTTCCAACTCATAGCAACCCTGTATACTGTTTTCAAGGAGCAACTGGTGGGTTTAAACCACCAACCTTACAGTTCAAACCAAGCTTGTTATCAAGTGCTTATCCTACCGTGCCACATCAGGACTCCAGATAGGTATATGTTGTTGTTACGTGCCATTAAGTCAGTTCTGACTCATAGCAACCCCACACAGGGTTTCTGAAGAGTGGCTGGTGAGTTTGAACCACTGACCTTGTGGTTTAACCGACCTTGTGGTCCAGTTCTTATTCTACAGCTCCACACCAGGACTCCAGAAAGGTACATAGTGGGGGCAAAAGCACTAGTGAGGGATGCACATCATAGAATGGGCAACCATTAGAGATCAAAAGCGCAGCATTTACCCAAGTTCAGACGAGTGGGGAAAGAAAGAGAGATGGAAACAAGAAACACAGGGAGGAAGTGAGAATGCAATCATTGAGAAGAAATGAACGTATGATTTGTGTAAAACTGATGATCTCCTCTGTAAACCTTCACTCAATTCACAGTAAAAGGTTAAAAAACAAAAAACACTTAGAATTTTTCCAAATGAAATTGCAATGAATGTCAATTGTTTCAAACTGCTTTATTGGTTATAAATATCAAAGTAATAAGGCATCCAGGAAGGATAATAAGCCTCCTATAGAGTCGGTACTGACTTGATGGCACCTAACAACAACAATATACACATCAGGAGCCCTGGAGGCACTGCGGCAAATGTTTGGCTGCTAAATCAAAAGGTCCATGGTTTGAATCCACCAGCTGCTCCATGGAAGAAAGATGAGGCAGAATGCTTCCCTAAAGATTGTTGTTATATACCGTCCAGTCGGTTCTGACCACTAGTGATCCTGTAAAGGATTTCTGAGGAGCAGCTGATAGGTTTGAACCACCGACCTTGCGGTCCAGTACATTATCCTGCAGTGCCACATTAGGACTCCTCCCTAAAGATTTGTTGTTGTTGCTATGTGTCGTGGAGTTGGTTCTGACTCATAGCGACCCTGTACAGGGTTTCCAAGGCTATAAATCTTTTCAGGAGCAGAAAGCCTCATCTTTCTCCCCCAGAACAGCTGGTAGTTTCGAACTGCTGACCTTGTGGTTCACAGCCCAACTCGTAACCACTACACTACCAGAGCTCCTTCCCTAAGATTACAACCTTGGAATTTCTATGAGGCAGTTCTACTCTGTCATATCGAGTAACTGAGTCAGAATTGCCTCAAGAGCAATGATTTGGTTTGTCTTTTATATGCATTTCATTTATGTGTGATCTTATTCTTTCTTTGCTTTTAAATATATATGATTAACATACTTAAGCTTTTAGGGACCAACATTCTAGAGTCAGCCTATTTTAAAAATATAAACAAAAATGCATTTGTGCAATTGAAATAGCTATACCTAGAGTCAAAATAGAGGAAATTGAGGACCAAGGTGACAATGCAGGTTCAGCTGAAGCAGTGTGGACGGAGGGAAGGGTCAGGGGCCCATGCAGCCTAGTCTCCTCAGTCACCTAGGAACCTGCAGCCTGTTGGCTTCTGTGGTACTCTGGAGAGCCTTCAGGGGAAAACCAAGGCAATCTACCAGAATCTAAGCCTGGAACTCACTCACTTAGTCAGCCCCGGCATTCTATCAGCCCCCGCCACCTCCCAGTGCCTGTTCTGGGCCAGGAGCCAGACACATTCCTCAGGCCCCCACGGGCCTCTGAAGCTGACTGGGTGGAGTGAGGAAAGGGCTGAGCAAAGCAGAAACCTCCCAGGGGAGATGGCATAAGGCGGATATGGGACCATCACAGCAGGAGGCCTACCATAACCAATACAGAAACTGAGGGCCACAGAAGACAAGGATCACATACTGAGGGGATAATAAAGAAAATCATCCACCAAGGTTCTGTACCACCACCCCTGCTACCTAGGGCCAAGTCCTCTCCCAAAGAAAGATAGGTCTCCGGGTTTCAGGGCCCATGGGACTAGAAGAACCTGGAGTTGAGGCTCTCCAAGTCCTCAGGAAAGAATCTTGGCTACTCCTTCCCTGATCACTACCCCTCTCCTTTCCTGAGTCACTCACCGGGTGGCAGATCCTGTCATGTATCTTTTACCCTATTCATGACAACCCAGCAAGGCAGGAGTTACATACCCATTTTATAAAGGAGGAAACTAAGGCTCAAGGAAATGAAGTGGCTTTTCCAAGGCCATATAGTTACTGGGTGGAAGAGGGGAAATGAAAAACCAGGTTTGGCTGGCTCTATGCTAGCTTTCCCTTCACCATCCTATGCTGTCTGGCTCCAGGAAGGTCCTTAAGTTGTACTGCTGCTTTCAACTTGCCCACCTCTCAGCCCTCCACTGAGACCTCAGGAAGGCAGGGAAGCTTTTAAACACCCACACCTACCTCACTGGGCCCTGAGGATACAAATACTTACCCTCTAGCACCACCTCCTTGCCTGTTTTCTTGAGGGCCTGAACGGCCTCATCATGGGAAGCAGAGGACAAGTCTTCTCCATTCACAGACAGGATGGCATCCCCCACAAAGAGGGCCTCTGTCTGGTCAGCTGCCAGTCCCTTGAAGATCTTGGAAATGAGAATGGGCATCTTGTTCTCCCGGCCCCCTGCACAGGTATAGAAAGAAGAAGAAACTGAGGCATACTCTCCAATGCTTGTGAGTCACATCAAGGCAAAAGTATTTACTGAAGGCCTTTCTTGGTGGCAGTCCAATGCTGGAAAAGGGGGGATAAGAGAGTAAACAGTGCTTCAGGAAAGAGTCTTAGACATTTGAGACACTAATAATACTAAATAATAAGTCAGATTCTAAATTAATAATTCCCATGGTCTGGTTCCATGCTTTGGGTGTTCAATAGTGTTTAAATAACTGATAAGGTGCTTCAATTGCTTTTTCTTAAATATTTTAGATTTTAAGCCATTTTCCTATAAGAAAATAACCCACGGATACTCCCCGAATCTGGAATTAAGATAGAAGCCAGCTATTCCTATAGTCCCAAAGGACCACTTTAGAAATAAGAAAGAATTTTGATGCAGAGTTCAGGTTGAAAACCAATGCCTTAAAATGTAAACATTTCAAAAGCTTACCTAAATTGTATCTCGTATGCAAAAGAAGTCAATACAATAATGCCAATGCTTTATTGCTAACCTCTTAAATGCCCTTTTACTGTAAGAAATAGAAGTAACAGTTCACATTAGTTCAGAGTACCATGTGCCAGGCTCTGTGCTAAATGCTTTAAATGCCATCTCACCACATCCTCACAACAGTCCTAGCACACAGTCACCCTCAACTTGCTATTAGGAAAACTGAGGTGTGGAAAGGAGACCTCTGCTTAAGGTCACCCAGCTAGTACGTGACAGAGCCAGCATTTAACTCGGGTCTTCGAACTCTAGAACCAGCTCACTCTTCACCCCAATGGTATACTGGGTCCTCAGATATCGGACTCCTGGTCTATCCTCAGAGTTCTGAAGATGAGGAATTAGTGACTCAAAGAAAAATCAAATGAAATCCACTGCCATAGAGTCGGTTCTGACTCACAGCGACCCTACAGAATAGAGTAGAACTGCTCTTAGGGTTTTTGACACTGTAAATCTCTATGGGAAACAGACAGCATCATCTTTCTCCCACAGAGTGACTGGTGGGTTCAAACTACTGAATTTTTAGTTAGCAGTCCAGCACTTAGCACATTGTACCACCAAGGCTCCTAAGAAAGGAGGTCCTTATTCCTAAATCACTACAGCAAGTTGGTGGTAGATAGGATTGGAGAAGGGTAATATGGCTACAGCTGGAATACTTCTTCAACTTCATACAGGCCCAAGAGTTCACTCACCGAACTGCTCAGAGATTGTGTCCTAGCAGAGGAAGGGCTTTCTAGTTCTCCCTACCTGCTCCCAATTGAAATAGGAATTTTAGCTCAATCTGAAGCCATGATCATTCCTGGCTGCCTGTAGCTGGGCTGGACCCTAGAATGATCACCATAGCAACAGAAGCCCAGTCTCCATCCACAGGAATTTGATTAAGCTGGTATGTAACCTGGGCCTCCAAAAAGTACTCTCACACCCACATGGAAGCATGAAATTTCACTGTGTGTGACCTTGGAACATCCCTATGCCTGAGTCATGTTTTGTCCATCTGTTAAATGGAACGCTGTATGGACTCTAAGTTCCTTCCTGCTCTAACACACTGAGTGCACAAATTCTAGATTGGCCCAGTTACCTTATCTAATGCTGGAACATGGGAGCAAGCCTAGTGCCTGCCCCCTGGGCTTCCCACTCTCCTCTTTGAGACAACCTGGGCTGGCTGGCTGGGAATTTGCCCTTACACTAGGAAGAATCAATACCCCTGGGGAACCTCTAAGGGGGAACCTTAGCCTGATCATTGAAGTTCAAATCCCAGTTCTGCCACTCATGAATTGTATAACCCTAGGCAAATTGCTTCACCTTTCTGAGTCTGTTTCCTCACCTGCAAAATAGGGGTATATATATCCTACCCTTCTCCACTGTTGCCAGGATATAGTGGATCCTGCACCTAGAGTACTAGGCAGAGCACCTGGCACGGCGGTAGCAATTACCTCCTCAGACTCACCCCCTAGCCAAAGGGTCTGGAGGTACTGGTGAACAGAGGGGACAATGAGTAATAGGCAAGTACCCTAAGAAGCACACAGGCAGGAATGGTGAACCCAGGAGCTGGAAGTGTACAGAAATTTTAAGCACTCTGGTTAGTTGCTTCAGAAGTCTCTCCTAGCCTCCATTTTCCCTCTCATCCAACAGCAATAATTAACCAAGTGCCTACCATGTGCTGACATGGTAAACATTTTAGACACCTGGTCTCAAAGAAACATCACAACTCTATCATCCCCATTGTACAGTTGAGAACATTGAAGTCCAGAGGTGGGAAGTGATTTGTCCAAGTTCACACAGCTGATTCTGGACTCAAATGGAATCTGGTTGACCCTTAAAGAAAGTTGTCAGTATCTGGGGGATCTTCGCCTCTCAATCCTGCAAGGTGGGGAGGGTCAGCTCAGGAGACTCAAGCCCAGCTGACAGGGCTCCTTGCCTCAGTACACTGTCTTCCTGGGTCCTCAGATTTCTAGGTCCATTCTGGCTCCCTGTCTGTGACTCAAATCTGTGCCTCCACCCACGTCCTGCCCCTCCCAGCCCCAGTAATGTCCCAGGCCTCATGCCTGTTCTCCACCCTCTCCTCTCCAAGGGCCCCTCTTGTCCTTGGTACCCAGGCTAGTTGCCGCCTCCCCTCCCCTGGGTTCCTGTCTATGCCTCCGCACAGAACTCCCACCCACAAGTCCTTGGAGCACCCTGAGCCCTCTCAGACACCCGAGAAGGCCAGTCCTTGACCACCCACCCCTTGCACTGTTAGGGACACTTAAGTCTCCGACCTTGGTGATCCCCATGCCTCAGTGTGCTCTGTCCCCTCAGATTCACCGTCCCCCTAGACAGAGGCCTCCAACTCCATGTCCTCAGTGCGCCACCAGCTCCCGCGACCCTGCGCCTCCAGCGGCCCCACAGACGCCACAACCCTGTGCCCTGGATACCACCGCGCCCACCTTTGATGCTGATACCCAGCCCGCCGGCATCGGCTTTGCGCACCGTCACACTGCGCCGCTGAAGCAGCAGCGCCTCCGGCAGCTGCGGGGGCGCTGCGCCCGGCTCCGTAGCGCCGTTAAGCTGCGCGGGCTCGGACTCCCGCAGGGCGCCAGACTCCGGGCCGGGTTCGCTGTCAGCGGGGCTCACGGTCAGCATGTCCTCCGCCAGACTGAGCAGCACCCGCTGCCACCGCTCGCCCCCGGCGCCCGAGCCCGCCCCGGTACGCAGCTCCAGCAACCCGGTGCGCGGGGCGCGCCTGCCTGCCGCCATCTTCGCCTCCGGGGCTCGGACTCCGCACTCGCCCGGCTCTGCCGTGCTGGCCCGCTGCGACCGAAAGCCAGGGTACAGGGCAGCGGGGGCCCGGTTGGGCCAGCCGCCACCCTACCCCAGCCGACAGGGTGGAGCCTCGGTGGGCGGGGCTACCCGGGTGTGGCTAACTGCTGGGGGCGTGGCCACCTGTCACTAGCGAGAGGACGGGGCGAGGCGAGGAAAGAGACCTGGACCCAGAAGGATGCAATGTGGGGGCTTCTCAGGGAAGGAGACCGCAAGTGAGAGAGGAACCTGTGAGGTGCTGGTGCTTGAGCTGGTGGGCCATGCAGGGGGCGGGGGTTCATGTTGAAGGTGGTGCCCCGGAGAGTGGGGCGCGCAGGGCCAGGATCCTAGCTCAGACTGATGGGCTCACAAGAACGTGAGGCAGAAACCCTACTCCTGGGGCCGAAAAAATACCCTTGGGGCAAGGTTTTGGGCGTAGGGACCGGACTACGTAGGGCGGAGCGCTGACCCTCAGATGTTGTTAAGTGCCCTCGAGTGGGTTCTGACTCATAGCGACCCTGTATAGGGTTTCCGAGGAGTGACTGGTGAATTTGAACTGCCGATCTTGCAGTTGAAACCGACCTTGAGGTTGAGTGCTTATCCTATTGTGCCAGGACTCCCTGGCCCCCAGTTGTTGTTAAGTGCCATCAAGTCGATTCCAACCCATAGCGACCCTGTATAGGATTTCCAAGGAGAAACTGGTGAGCTTGAACCACCGACCTTGCAGTTCAAACGACTTTGCAGTCTGACGCATTAGCCCACAGCGCAATACCAGTGGATGGCTTGATTTTAAGAGGTGGACACCGAACTACAAGGCACTTTGCAGACTGGACTGCTAGTGGGAGAGCATCTGAAGGGGCTAATTGCCCATTTGGGATTGGGAGGTGAGGTTTTTCTGTGGGCGTGGCTTCATGTGACTCCTAAAGCCCCATATACTGATATAAAAGTCCTTCAGACTTCCCTTAGGTCTTGGGGAGAGGGTGAACACGTTCCCAACTTTGGAACTGGAGAGTTAAGCCTCACAATCAAGTATATAGATGCTCAGTGAAGCCCCACTCTTTAAAGCTTGGCAGAAGGAGAACCCAGACTCTAGATTTGGCCTCCTGGTTTCCTGTTCCAGCTCAGACACTCTATTTTCTGCTTGTCCACCTTGGTCCAGGTAATGTCACTACTCTGAGTCTTAATATCCTCATCTGTGAGGTGGTCTAACTCAGTACTTGTGTAAGGATCAATGCATTATAAGTTTGAATCACTGTGCTATTAATATAATTACTTTGTTATTGAATGCTGACTATTGACTGAACAGTCTCCAATTGTTATTCTATAGTAGCATCCTGGAGTATCTATTGTTAGGAATACTCCCACTATACAAAAGGAAAAACCTGGATTTAGAAGATCTAATTGGTCTTGTACACATTTATGTGGGGAGGAGCTGGGATTCAAACCCAGGCCCATTTGACACCAGTGCATCCTTTTCAGAAACGTCCCACCTCAGCCTCAATCTGCCCTCAGGTCTGCCCCTATCTCCATCCTCCCTCCTAGGAATGTGTTATTTATTAACAATAAATAGTTAGTTAAGGCCACATCAGTATGTAGATTCTCTATACATTGTATAGCGAATAACATACCGCATAATATACCATCATGAAAACAATATGTGTTTCCACAAGAAAATATATACATATATAGGAAGATTATACACAGTTGCCTTTTGCTGGCAAATGGTTTCAAATCAGAGACAAATGCAAGTATTTCAACACTGGAAATCTACTGAGACCACATACATAACATATAGCTATAATATTTGTATGTCTGTACATATACATACAATATATAAATGCCATTTATTAGCTGTTTGCTATATATTGATACATGAACTGGCTGATGTAGATACATCCTATCATTTAAACCCCACATAATCCCTGCCCGGGCTATACAGTATCCCCATTGTATAGATAAGAAAACGGAGACACACTGCTAATAAGAACAGACCTCTATTCTAAGCCAGGTCTGACTCCCAAGCCCATATCCCTCCTACCCCTTTCTTCATCCATATAGCAGCAAGGGATGGGTTTTCAATTCATTCATTCATTCAATCATTCATTCATTCATTCAACAAATATTTATTGACCATCCATCCAATATGTGCCAAACATAGTGCTAAATTGTCCACAAGATAGATGGAGTCCTACCTCATAAGCCATATAGTCTACTGGGAGGGAGAATCCCATAGTGATTAAGACCATAGGCTTTAGATTCTGATTCTGGAGTTGAAACGCTCATTGTGCCATTTCTTATCTGTGTGGCCCTGGTAAGTTATTTAACTACTCAATTGCATTGTCATACATAATATATCAATTGCTCATATGCAAGTTCAGGCAGAGGCTGAAGAAAATTAAAACAAGTCCATAAAAGCCTAAAGATGACCTGGATCCTATCCTACCTGAATTTAGAGACCATCTCAAGAACAGATTTGATGCATTAGAGAGCAACCAAAAGAACTGTGGAGTGGCATCAAGAACATCATATAAGAAGGCAAAGGAAAAATCTTTTCTTTCTTTCCTGTCTTCCTGTTATTAGAAGACAGGAAAGAAAGAAAAGCCCAAAATGGATGTCAGAAGAGACTCTGAAACTTACTCTTAAGCACAGAGGTAGCATGTGAGCAAGAACCAATTGGTACTGACGAAAGAAGTCCAGCTGGCACTGAAGACATTGGCAAAATACAAGCCTCCAGGAATTGATGAAACACAAATCTTTTAACAAACTGATACAGCACTGGAAGCACTAATTCATCTATGACATGAAATTTGGGAGACAGCTCCCTGGTCAACCAATTGGAAGAGATCCATATTTGTGCCCATTCCAAAGAGAAATAACCCCAAATAATGCAGAAATCATCAAACAGTATAATTAATACCGCCTGTAAGTAAAATTTTGCTGAAGATGATTAAAAAACAGCTGCAACAGCACATCAACAGGAACTGCCAGAAATTCAAGCCCTGAAACTAGGAATATCATTGCTAATATCAGATAGATCTGTAGTGAAAACAGAGAATACCAACAAGATGTTTACTTGTACTTTATTGACTGTGTAAAGGCTTTTGACTGTGTAGACCATGACAAGCTATGGATAACATTGAGAAGAATGGATATTCCAGAACACTTCATTGTGCTCATGAGGAACTTATACATAGACCAAGAGAAAGTTGTTCCATCAGAACAAGGAGATAATGAATGGTTTAAAATCAGGAAAGGTGGTATTTCTGACAAGATGGCAGACTACATGGACCCTCTACAACAAAGATACGAGAGACCAAATGAAACAGACACAAATGAAAATATTAGAACCTTGAACTTCAGAGGAAATGTTAAAGAAGTGGTTTGATCACTTGCTGGGAAGAGAAGCTGAGCAGGGACAATGAGAGAGAGGGAGAATAGTGAACAACAGGTGGAACACAGCATGACCATCTTGAAGTTTTGTGAGCACTTTGATGACAGAAGATGGCCTGGCAGAGCAGAGTCACACAGCTGTTGGGAAAGATGCGGTTCCTTCTTTTTCCCCACACTCCCCTAGTAACCAGAGGTGTGGGTCAGCTCCAAACCTCATGTACAGACAGCACACACAGCCCCTGTTTTCCAGGAGTTCAGAGTCAAGTGGTGAGGAGGGGGCCACCTGCACTCAGTCAGGCTCAGCTCCAGACCTACAGAACCTACAGAGCGACCAGATCAGTATTAGTCTAGCAGAAACCCTCTAATCAGGCACTCTGCCCCCAGCTGCCCTGTGATCCTAACAGACACTGAAACCATTTCCATCAAGGGCCCCCACCAACTACTTTCAGATTGAGTGCCTTGAACATAGATAGTACCTAGACCTATAGGAATTCCCCCTGGGGCCAGACATTCCACTGTCACATCCCTCCACAGCCATCTCATGAGCTGTTGGCTTAGAGGAACCCCCAGAGTTTTCTCCTCTGTGGGTCTAACAGCCGCACCATTTTTTGTTTTGGTTTGGTTTTCCCTTTTGTTGTTTCATTATTTTTATTTCTCTTCTTTTCCTTATTGT